GTACTGTTTAAATTTTAATCGTCTTTGAATATTTATTTTTTCTATATTTATACAATGTACAAAATATTTTGATAACTAGTTCAGATTTCTTCAACAAGCACTGCCTTTGATCACAAAGTATAAATACATGTATTATTTATGTAAAATCAGACAAATAAAAAATGTCAGTAAATTTTATGCGTGTATGATTTAAAAACAATAGCACGAAAGACAATGTTAATTTTGCACAGTACAACGTCTGTCTATCATAACTACATATAATATAGTATGCAAACCGGTGGTTTGCCTTCAGGTTTTCAATCCCAAAATCCCAACCAAAACAGTTGCAAATTAAATGCAACAATTAATGCGAACGCCGGGCAATTTAATTTTATACGAATTCGTGCCATATCATGTATGAATGCAAGTTATCTATATAAATTATGTAAATGATTTTACTATGCATATAATTATTTCATGAAAACTAAACAAGTGATAAAAAGAGACCCAAATATTATGTTAACAAACCAAGATGAATAAATCATAGGTAGATAAAATAATGTTAATGTGCGTTTATGATTCACGTGAGGTGAAAGTGTCACTTTATTTGTTATTATTTATATGCGGCATTCATAATGCCCAGTTGTTAAACTTAGTACTCGTGCGCCCCTGAACAGTTGAATGATAACATAATTATTGTACAGCGCTGTTTGTATTGGGTCGTCCATCTTGTCTACGTAACAACGTACCGTTTCACGTGCGACGTCAACTTTTTAAAATAGAGAAGCTTTTCATGCATGATATACGCAACTGGTACATATGAACATGTGAACATGTGACCTTGTTTTTAAGAAACTCTTCTTATTGCTCTTCAATTTGTATGCTTTAAGATATAAACAATTCATAAGATGAGTTTTTTATTTAAGATGTTTGTATATGTGTTCCGTGTAGTTGGTTTTGGCATAAGGTTGTAATAACGGAAGGAAATTAAAAGTTGAATGTGAAAAATTACCAGCGAAATATTGTCGGGAAGGATCGGAAAATGAGATGATTTATCTTAAATAATGACAAGGCATTTCCTGACGCCAATGAAATCAATTCTGCAGATTTTTGGCCGCCAAATGGTCAATACCGTTAAAGTAAAGATGTCTGGTTAAGAGAAAATTTTGCATTTGTATGATCAAAATTTCTTCCTCAAATTCAAGTTTTATTTTATTTTGCTATAACAATATTTGCAGACGACACCTCACTTAACAGTCAGATCACATCAACATATTCTTCATATTCTTGAATTATTTTATTACTGTATTTTTATCAAGGTTGCAGACGACTAAATTTTTATTTTTAGTGTTCAGACGACTACTCTTACGCATTTTAACACTTAAGCATGCCTCGTTTAGAAGATTTGTACCTCATTATATTCAATCAAGCGAACTGTCCCTTAATTCATCACTGACAAAATATGATTATTACAGCGTTCTTGACATTTTGAAGTACACTTTTTTCTGGTAATTTCTTTGATTTTTTTCCCACATGTAATGCTGCTATTGATTTGACATTTAAAAATACGCATCTAACAGCCTTTTCTGCTGCAGTTTTATGTTCTCTATACATACATCTTAATATTCAGTATATAACGACGTGGAATATAGTCTACGGATCCCCTTTTTTTCCTACATCGATATTCTGTAATTCTCTTGATATATTAAGATGTTTTCTAAAGAGTGAGAAATATGTAGAAACGTGCAGAACTGTGTCGGTTATCTGAGAGAAGTTTTGTAACGGAATTCGCTGTTTTTTAGTCAATCAATCGATCACCACTCAGTGAAATGGTGGTGCTGATCAAGTGATATTGAACATTACGTGTGTGGGTGCGTGCGAACTTTATCAGAATTAAATTGGAATCGGTTGTGTTTAAAGGTAAATTAAATATTTTTTATCTCTTGTTTATTTTGGCGATTATTTTCTGAGCTTGAAACTAATATAGTTTGGAAATGCGAATATTTCGATCTGCTTACATGGGGATGGGTGTGTGGTCTGGTCTTATATGACCTGGAGGCTGGGTACCAGTACTCGTAGCCTGTCAATTTAAATAAATTATTATTAGAAGCAGACGATAATTGAAAAGCCTAAATATTTGACATATTTACGAGACTGTTTCTTATATATGTTGTGTTAAATTATTGCGTGTTAACATATTTTCCTTTACTCGAAGAATCTATACAATACAATATGTGCATAATTCCAGTGTTAAGAAGGTAAGAAGCCTTGTGAAGATGTTAAGAGTGTATAATTACTGCTCACATGAGTTAGATAGGATGTTCTTGTCAGAGTGAATTATCTGTCTTGGTGGGGAGTGGGGGGGGGGGGGGGGGGGGGGGGGGGGGGGAGGGTAACGTTATGGTACAATAAATCATGATATATCCAAGGTCACGTGTACACCGTAAAACAATATATTAGGTTAATGGCGAATTAGTGTAAACACTAGTATTTATATTGTGCGGTTGCATAGAGGTTACAATCATCCGAAATGTCAGACATTTGAATATACAACATGGCCAGGTTTAAAGGCCACTCTCGAAATGACTGTTGCATATACTTTTATATTTGTCTAAAAATCTTCTGTATGTACACACATTTTAGTCTATCGCTTAGATCAATAAGGACTAAAGGATAGCATCAGATATGTAATCCAGGAGTCGTAGGTGTGATCCTCGGAACAAGGCGAAATTTCCCCATGACAACTGATCTCGGACAATGAGTCAAACGGTCATTTGTCTAATATCTCTGATTTAGAAAACTAGCCTGCCACTTGTAGAGAACTTTATATTAACTGCTTAGTTATCCAGTACAGCCGACTAGGTGATACATTATCAAATATTTGTTAAAATCGGCTTGAAACCAGATAGTGAGATCAATAAACAAATCTCTTAAATTAACGTTTCTATTAAGTCAACTACAATGAAATAAGTTATGTTTCTTCATTAATAACACGGAGGCTTTATATTATTCATATGTAAATGTTAAAATGACAACGCACTTCATCATATTGTCGTCTGCTTTATAACGCTAACGTGCACTTTTCTAGTAATTTTGCCGCGTTGACCGCATTTTTAATAGTTTATTTCGTAATAAGTGATTTCTTAAATTGTAGTTTTATATCCGGGGTTCTTTTGCTTACATGCATTTCTGTGATAATTATAATTTATATTGAAGGATCTTAAAAGTACAAGTTTTGCATTTTAAAAAATAGACGCAGTAACCTCCCATGATCAGTCTGGGCTTAGGCTTATTAATTTAAAAATTGAGATTATCATTACAAATATAGACGTCGGACAATGAAAAGTTATTTCGCTAAGTAGAGATTAGTCTATGAATGAAATATGACCAAACTATTAATCTCTACGGATTAATTACATAATAAGGTCAAGGACGCACATTCTTATCATTTTAACGCTTTCATTTTGAAGGTTTTATCACGCTGTTTTCATTTAAGATTTTTTTCTGAAATCCTTAATGATATTTGTGACACAATAACAATGCATTGCCTGTCACTGTTTTGACGTTTTATTAGATCAGAATAAGATAAAACGATTTATTGACCAATCCCGAGGCTGTATTCATTGCCGTAAATTTGCCCCCACTTCATTTGCTTGTAAGTAAACCAGTATAAAGATCTATTTCGAATTCCGGTACTTTTCTCTGCAAATAATATAGCTAAAACTTTTTCCATAAAACAGCTGGTCATTCATAATAACTTTCCGCTGAAAAAAAGATTCGAACCCGTTTTAGAATTTGTAATATATATTCGTTTATTAACGATTAAATAGAAGTTTGACCAGATGGAGAGAATTAGTTAAATGATTATCTTTAAAAATGTCCATTAATATATATCATGTCTATATTGTGCAATTTATATTATTTGGGACCGTCCGGTTAGCTCAGCTTTGGACTGTGAATCGGGCGGTCCGGTTTCGATTCCCGAACGGTGCATATCACGTTCGTTGTGATTGATCATGAAATCATTTCTACGGTCATCCGCACTATACATCTGCTCTTGCATGTACAGGAGTAATCAGTTCCTTGTGAAAGTGTAGGCAACTAATAGACAACCTGCCCAGGAACGATTCGCACGCTGAACTGTGCTCTTGTAAATTCGTTGTGGCTTACTGCTGTGCTACGGAGTGAAAACTACCAACATCACCATCATATTTATATTATTTTTATGATTCCTTACCCCAACATTTTACGTTGTAATTTAAGTAAACGTTTACAAAAATCAGATATACGCGCAGGATTGTAAAAGCTAAGTTAGCCCATTTGGGAAGACAATTTTCTCGGATGAATTCTGGGATTGATTAAAGCAATAAAATGTAGACGGTTTTCGAAGCAAGTTATTGTATTTTGTTGCTTAATTTGTAGGAATAAACTTACGATCGTTTTGCTACAGAGAGGGGACTATTTCTTTTTCTGGAAGAACTTTCACCAGACATTTTTGGCATTTGATCAACCAGTGTACAACAGTAGAATTGATTACGTCATACGACCGGCAGTTTTATTCTAGCCATTTTGTATATTAATAAATTCTCCCTTCTCCGTCAGTTTTCAATATCCAGGAATGTTTTCTTTTCATTATCTTACAAAATTGAAATTCACCATCCGCGTTAATATGTGTGAATGAAATTTGACATGACTGTATCATTTATGCATGAAAATATAAAGCGAAAGTTAGGATACTCTATTCTAAGTGTGTACATGTACTTTTTTTTTATAAAGTTGATATTATACCAAGCGACCCATTCTGCTTGAATAAGTGATGGGATTTAATATTAAATCACTTGTAATATCCAAATAAAACATTTCCTTGTATCAAAACCCATATAACCGTGTTAAAGTAACGAAACTTGCAGTCATCGATCTTTCTTTCAAAAAGGGGAGACAATTCTAAACGGCAATATTTTTTTAAACAGGAATTTTATTATGATCTTAAACGAGATCCTTAACTTTGATGTAAATGTCCGCAAGACACTTCCGTCTTTTAAAATTGACAATTGATTTAAGCAGAATTTAGTTCCGGAGATCTCAATGGATCTGAAGTGAGATAACGCGCGTCTTATCCGAACCTAAATCACAAATGTAAATATGTCAACTTAGTTAGCGTCTGTTTCAAATGTTAAACTGTTTTTTCGTGTGCCCTGGAGCGTGACAAGTTGACACAAACTGTTTATCATTTGCAAAAAGTTTTCATTCAAAGTTCATTGTAACGGCAGAAACTGTGGAGTAATTTAAGTAGACAAAGCAGGGGATGATAAGGAAAAGCTTCTTAAAAGGTACGTTTATTTTTACATCCACGAAATAAAATTGTTCGTCTACCTTATTTACGAGATCAATAAATTTGCATATCTCGAGCGGTAAACGTTTTAATATACACAATTTATAGTATAGCGATGTTTATTATTAAACTCAAGGTCACCTTGAATATAGAGTATATACATGTACATGATTTCAAAATACGGTATTATTTAAAATTTTCTTTCTGTTGGCTCAGTGGGGCAAGCTTTTATTTCAGTTTACGGATAATTTGATTAATAAAGCTTTGTTATATATTATGTAAAATAGTATTGAATCAGCAATTTGTTTAGATGTCATGAATATATCTAAATAAAGATATAACAATCCGGTCATGCTATGCTATGCAAAACAGTAATGCAATTTTCTACAGTAGATCTAGGGGAAACGTCTCCTAAATTTTTTGTATTAAGGCTAGATCGCGTTCGTTTAATTAATGTATATTATTTGTCACGCACACGAAATCCGTCATAAGAATATTGTGATAACAGTTTCAACATGTACATTTTTCACCACTTCAGAGTCAACAATTCTGTTTGACCTTGAGAAAGTTTACTTTATGATATTTGTAGTATTAAAAGTGTTTCGAAATAATTAATTTATAACCCATTGAACCAGTGTTTTCCTGATACACTAAAGTTAGACTTGACGTTATCTTTGAGAGACTTATCAGCTAATGCGTCACTTGAACTAGTTGATTTACAGCGTCCGTGTTGAAATTTACAAATATGATTATTTTCCTAAGTTTTAAAGACATAAGCAATATTATTTTCGGTCAGCTAAACGCTTTATCTTAGGACTGAAATTGACGAAGTTCGCTTTTTTCCTGTTCTTCTAAATGTCAAAGAACCTTCGACGTGACCAAGATGAATTTAATCTTGGCCTTTTAGAAAAAGTTGATGTACGGAGATTGACTAAATTAGAAGTTAAATTACTAGTATATGAAGAACGATATTGAATTCATAAACGGTTTATTTCAACAATGGTTGAACAATTTTGCACCAGTACTTTATAGTTGTTTTACAGGAAACAGGTGTTTTAAATTTTGTTTCATACATGCAGCCTTGACTTCATTTTTGAGAGCTGTTCAATGTAAATATTTACAGTTTGATTTCAGAATTAAATTGCTGGCACGCTAAAACCAACATTCACTTCCCCCGTCTGTTTGTTATAAATTATGAAACATTTAAAGCAAACGTTTCTTTTCCTCTTTTTCCGTTTCTTTGGTATAAGTTTTGGTGTTTGCAGTTGACAAAAAACAGCTTTCTTATAATAAGTTATTGATTCTACACCAATTAAAACCTGATTTAATTTTTAAGTAACTGACCTCCCCCCTTATAATATTTCATATGATATACCAAGGACGAATAGGGTCTTTCAAATGACACAGAATAGGGGCAAAGAGACGTTGACAAAATTCATGTATCGCAATGAAAAGTGTTTAAAACTTTAGTGCTGTTCCTACAAAGCTACTTGGGGGGGGGGGGGGGGGGCGATTATTGGAAATATGAACGTGTTTTCTTCGATCTTGCATTCAGGGGAAATATTTACAAGATACGTCAGCATTGCAATGTTTAAGAATCCAGTCTTAAAGTTCGACTTAAGGGAAGTTCGACTTAGGAGAAGTTCGACTTATTTATGAATCGATGGTTTCCGAAATGAAATCGATTACTGCCTTCAACTTAAAAATAGCTTATGTAACAATTTTTATTTATAATAAGCAGGAACTGACTGCCAGAAATAATAAATATCTATACACGTCATTTTTTTCCTTGATTTGATTCATTTTTAATTCGTTGGAGGAACAAAATGTCACGGTATTTCAGATACGTTGTATGTTACCAGATGTTTTACACGTGTTTTACACGTGTTTTATTGAACTAAGTAATGCTGTAGTGCTATGTATGTTTTTAATTTGTTGTAGATACTTTGACGGTTAAATTATGTAAAAAAAATCAGTTAAATGGCGAAATAGGTGCGTTCTTATGATCTTCAAATGCGTTTTAAATCGTGAAATGCATTTTGGAAGCTTTCTGAATAGAATATAATTATTCTTTCAATAACTGTGAAATAGAATAGAATTCTTCTTTCAATAACTTTGGAATAAAAACAACAAACAAAAAATCACGTGGTATTTTTTTCAAGGACAAGTTATCAGAAATTCTGATAAGGAATCGTGATTTTCAAAAATGTTCAATTTGCAATCTTCTTACTTTGCATCACGTTGTCAGCGAGATTTTTTTTTCTTTGGCTACCGTTCAGCTCGGGAAATAAATATTGGCTTCTATAATGTAATATTCTTATTAAGCAGCCATCGATTTTGTTAGGATATAGGAACCATGTTATAGAAAGTTGCGAGATTTAATAACATGTTTATGTCCAAAAATCTGTTATTACTTGGTTTTCTCCGTTGTTTATTGAATACTGTATGTATTCTGACTGTCGGTTATTACTCCGTGATAATTAAATGATTAAGCTAGACTTACCTGTAAGGTGAAGGTTAATCATGATTTCATCCACATAAAACTCACTAAGGGCTCACACAGAGAGAAGACGCAGCTATCAGCAGCCAGTGGTCATATTTTAGAGTAAGTAATGCCGAATAATATCGCAAAAATATCAGTTTAAACGGGGAGGTAGCGGGTTGGGTGTGTGAGCCCTTAGTGAGTTTTATGTGGATGAAATCATGATTAACCTTCACCTTACAGGTAAGTCTAGCTTAATCATTTAATTTCATCCTACATATAAACTCACTAATGGGCCCCACAGAGATTTTAGAGTCCTTTTTGCGATATTTTGGAAAGGACATTACGTGCCATCCAACTCCATAGTAAATATTTATCTTTCATGTTATTATGAAGAACAACGATTTAATTTCAAGACATAAAGGTCTTTTTGTATTCTGCAATTCGGTAAAATCATTTTTACAGAATATAAATGCCATGCACAACTATATAGAAAGTAATTAAATATAGCTATAATTATTATTATCACTACAGTTTTTTTTTTTTCCCTTATTATACACTCTAATTAGCAATATCTATGATAGCCTGCATAGATTTTCCATTGGTATTTGATACTGGTTTATCATAATATTTAGCGATTGTCTTAGCATTGCTCCATTTATCGTCTGTAACGGGACTCCACGCATGTGTGCGATTGTAGACGCAGCGGCGCGCGTGCTATGTGGTTTGAATGATTTATGCACCCCAGCTTTGTGCATAATTAGCTTAATCCAGCGACAAATTGTTTGTTTTGAATCGGCCCCATGAGGCTTGACCGTTGATATCAGTAATTTATTGGTATTTCTGAGGTCTTTCGTTCTCTGTAAATACTCACTAATGACGCTGACAATACACAAGCGTTTATCTGATTTAAAACTGTCAAACAAAAAGGGTGTCTGATGCCGACCAGGTTTCGATCTTTTAATAAATGTGGAGTGTTTTATTATCAATCTTTCGTCTGAAATATTAATGTCTTCCAAACAAATGAGAATGGAGTGTTTGACACCCGCTGAGCTGACAACAATAAAAACAACATGCTTAATTTTCCAGCCAAAAATAATAATGTATCATTTTCTGTTTTTTGATAAAAAATCTAAAAATGTTCGCACATCCCATATCTCTTTATATCTCGGAAGTGCCGGCCTTGTGTTAAATACACCTTTCATGAACCGTGATATCAGGTTAATATTATTGCTGAAATCTACGTTTGAAGTTATCTTAACAAACCCACAAATTGCTGATCTGGCAATACCAATCGCACTGTAGGTTATCCCTTTTGATATAGGTGAGACAACAATGCTATCACTGTTGCTACAAGGGGGTTTAAAGGGATCGTGTTTCCCTTCACAGAAATGAAACCATTGTTTAAGATATGTTTGATACTGTTTCCTGGTTGTTCTCCGCCACGAATTAATGATAATCTGCTGAGCTTCATTTGAAATCCCTCTATCTTCAAGCGCTTTCCTGATAGGGAAAAAGCGCCAGCCTCATCTTTTTTAATGGGTGTTTCTTTCCCGGTCGATGGCACAACGTAAGGATGTCCTGAGGGTGCTGAAAGTAGAAGGCATGGTGCAACAATAAGTTGTATTAATGTCGGCCACCATGTCTGTGCAGGCCATATTGGTGCTACTAAACACAGTAGATCTGTTTGATCTATTTCTACTTTTTGCAGGACCCTGCCTATTACACTGAAAGGTGGAAAACAATAATAACAATTATCATGCCATGATAATGAAAAAGCGTCTATAGCAAAAGCATTTGGGTCAGGTTGTCTTGAAACATACGTCGGAAACTTGTTATTTAAGCGAGATGCAAATAAATCTATATTTTAAGGACGGGAAAGACCGACAAATTGCTGTGAACATCTCAGGTGATATACTCCATTCTAAATCTTCATTTCCAGTACGACTCAGTTTGTCTGCCGTGCGGTTCAATGACCCCGATACATGATGTGCTGACAACAAAATGTTTCTTTGAATACACCAATGCCAGATATCGCGTGCAATTTTAATTCAATGAATCTATTCTTCCCCCCGTAATTATTTATGTATGATACACTCGTAGTGTTATCCATATAAAGTTTTATATAGATATTTCTGTTGTGTTTAAAAAGCGACAATAGCCCAACTTGACACGCTTTTAATTCTAACACATTGATATGTTGATTTTGTTCTTCCGCCGACCAAAAACCATTTGTTCGTCTCATACGCGCCGCATATGTCCCGGAGAATCAGTAAACATAATGTTATTCGGGTCAGGCGATGTAATACTTTTGAAACATGAATGTATATGAGTAATCCACCATCGCAAATTTTCCAAAATATCTGGCGTGATTGTAAAAAAAAAACTATTAAAATTACCCTTATTGGTTTTTCAGTTCCCTTTCCTTATGTCGTTCTAAAGGTTTTTATGTACAACGGAGCATGCATAACCCCCGGTGATGCTGCAACCAGTTTTCCAATAATCTTTGAAAATTTTTGAAATTGTTATTCGCCGGCATGTTATTATGTTATTGCAAAGCTCTGTGATATCATCACATTTTCCTTTGTTAATCTTATTGTCATTGTTTTAGAGCACAGCACAAATCCCAAAAATACAATCTTTTTCGACGGAACCAGGACAGATTTACCCATTGAAATTGTGAATCCTAACTTGTCTAATAAATCAATTGTTTCGCTGATATTTCGAGCACAGGCGGAGTAAACATGCGTCGTCGATGTAAATTGAACTTAAATGACCCGCGCTCTTAAATGAGAAAAAACTGGCTTCATCAGTTTAGTGAATATCATAGGGCTTTTTTGCAAATCCCATCACAAGCGCTGTAAATTGATATTTTACACCTTCGAAAAAGAAACGAAAATATCGTCTGTCCCGTTTCGTATATAGGGTATAGTGTAAAAAAGCATCAGAAATGTCGCCCTTGCCGAAATAACAATTTTTCCTCATTGCTGTGGTCACTGACCCCAAAGTTTCCATTTTAAAATGTATTTTGCTGACGTAGTTGCTATTGAAAGATTTTAAATTCAAAATAATTCTAATCCGTCCGTCTGATTTTGGTCTTGTGAATATATTCGAAATGTATTCTCCGTCCAAGTTTTCGTCTGCAAGTTCTAGTATTCCTTGATTTAAAAAACGTGTAATTTCAAACTGTATTGCTTGTTTTTCGTTTTCTTTAAAATTAAATGGTTTTGGAATTTTATACTGAAAAGGAGTTGCTGACAGCTGTACCCGATAACCGTCTACAGTTTCTAGTATCCATTTTATCTTTGGTTATTTTTCTCCACTCATTCAACGCCATTCTGGTCTTCCCCGCCGAAATTGAGTGAAGTATTTATAATGGTAGAGGAATATTTCATATTATGATTACTTACTTCGGATATTATTTTTTCTGTGCTCTTGATTGGAAAGTATTCTTTTTCTGCTGTTTTGTTCTGTAATTGTGATTTTGACGTCGTCGCTGTAGATTGAAATTCATGTTGCCCTGTGAATTGAGTGCATGTTTCCGTTTGTGCTGAGGTACCAGGGTCGCCATGCCCTGGCGTTTCCCTAAAAAAGAACGCCTGGAAGTACATGTAAGTTGCTGCTTATTGTCCCTTAACTTTTTAAGTTCTTCATCTACTTTATCGCCAAACAGATGAGTGGCAGATTGGTTTGCTGAACAAATTGGCCTATAAAGCGGGAGAAGTTCTTTCTTTATTTTTCCTGTCACGTCTCATCTGAGAAGTAGTGACAAAAGCATTGGTTAACAGTTTGAAAGTATCCCCAATCAACACTTTCATTTTTGGTCGTCCATCTGTCTTTAACTCATCCATGGTCTTCAATACCGGTACCAAAGCAGACGAAAAAATTTTTTGTGTCCTCTGCAACAGAAAATCCTGTGCTTTGACTTGAGATGGCAACTGTCGCCACAACTGCTCATTCACCAAAGGTACTTGTAGAAATTCTACATTGTTAGGCCTCTTGTGTGTGTCCAAAAGGTTCCTTTATTTTTCCTTCTTTTTGGTTGTACCTGCAAAGCTTTATTGCTCAAAGTGGCTAGTTTGTCACTTATCGCCGCTCCTGTTTCTGAGGCATCCTCGAAGAATCCACCATGCAGAATTCATCATCATCAATCATCATTTCCGTCGGTGACCCCAGATTCGGTGAAAAAATCTCCCACGCTTTCGTCATCTGAGCCTGAATCATCCCTCGTGCAAAAACGTTTTCGAAAGTTGATGTTTCTTCGCAGGTAACTGCAGTTCTTTTCAAAGAATTAACGTCAGACCTCATTTCAGTCAGAGAATCCGTTAAACCTTTTATTGCATTTTGGATGTCTTCTAACTGACTAGAAGATCCTGCAAGTGTCCCGAATTTTCAAATATATTGGGAATATTGGACTGGTTGTTTCCGACCTCTTGATCGTCGGCCATTGATCCTAAAAAGGTTTTTTAAACATTTCTAGCATGCAGTCCATTTAAGCAATAAAATGAAGTAGAAACATATATAAACGATTAGAATTTTAATCGCAGTCAGGCGTAAATAACGCCGTCAAAATAGATATCTACATAAATCATTAATTCGTCCCTCTGTGATATGCAAGACGCCTGATTTTTTTTTTTTTTATTTTTTTTTTTTTTATTTATTTATTATTATTATTATTATTATTATATTATTATTATTATTATTATTATTAATGTCATGTTGTATGAACACGCCCTATTGCAAACAAATATATAATTTGTCTGTAATGTTCAGACCATTTAGCTTTTCCATGGTGTTTGGATAAGCATAATTACGAACAAATGTATCTTTTGTCTGTTTGGTGTTCAGACAGTTTTAGCTTTTCCATGGTGTTTGGATAAGCATAATTACGAAAAAATGTATCTTTTGTCTGTGGTGTTCAGACAGTTTTAGCTTTTCCATCGGTGTTTGGATTAAGCATGATTCATTACGAACAAATGAGTCTTTTTGTCTGTGGTGTTCAGACATTTTTAGCTTTTTCCATGGTGTTTGGATAAGCATGATTTCATTACGAACAAATGAGTCTTTTGTCTGTGGTGTTCAGGACAATTTTTGCTTTTCCATGGTGTTTGGATAAGCAATGATTACGAACACTGTATCTTGTTTTGCCTGTGGTGTGTTCAGACATTTTTTTTTCGTATTTTGGCAGCAGTGTTCAGACAAAATTGGCTAATAAATATTGTTGTTAAAAATGTATATCTACAAATGTATATATTGTCTGTGGTGTTCAGACATCAAACATATACGAGTTTCTTTTTTTTTTTTTTTTTTTTTTACACAAAAGGTAAACGATTTTAAGTATAAACTTAAATAAATATATACAAATAAATTAAACATACCTCCTATCACACTTTTCTTAAACTGCTTTAATTAATATCCACAAATGAAACACTTTTAGTCCTAAAATAATTACAAACTATAATAATTTAACCTTGTGAAAAATACGACAGGCTTTACTTTAATTAAGAACAATTATACGTCTTGACCGTAGCTGCTAATGCCTCGTTATGACCACTGGCTGCTGATAGCTGCGTCTTCTCTCTGTGGGGCCCATTAGTGAGTTTATATGTAGGATGAAATATGATATACATGTAGTTAATGTCTAGACTTAAAGACCTATCTGGCCTAGTCTCTAACATGGTGAATATACACGATTAACTTAAAACTAGTTGCATTAATATATAATTACGTAGATGCATTTTTGCTTACACATTTCGTGGGAGGACAGGAACTGGGCTGTATTTGGGATAATTTTCATGCTTTTTTTAAAATTTTGGTTCGTGGGGTTTCATTAAAGGAACTCCGCTGTGGTCCAAAAGCCTTAAATCATAAAAATTGTATGTCTTACAATCAATTGGGTTATTTTATAGCGGAAAAATATGCAAATGTTATTAAGGATTGTACTCAGAAATAAATTGAAAATCCTGTATTTGTGCTATTCTTAACCTGCTTTAAGTGAAAAGCGTTGTAGCGCTTTCCAATTTGGGATAATTTTCCACAATATTACAAAAAAAACGGAGTGAGCGAAAGATTTGATATTTTGCACACAAGTAATCTTTAATTAATCAAAATAATGCAAATCGTATGCACGGCGTGTTTTGGAGATGTGCACAACTTGGACGAGTGATTAATCTTTTTGTAATGAATAAGCACTCACACACGACTTGTATGCAGTGTGAATGTTAACTGTTTTTTTCCTCCTTCAACTTTCAGTCGTGCATGAGTACTTGATATACTTGTAACCTTCAAGTTATTTTATACCTCAAATTACTTATATCATGCAAGTAAGAAACAAAAATTTATATTACAAAAAAAATCTGATGTACGGTGTACTTGTAGATTATTTATTTCAAAATGAGCTCGGAAAAAGCACGCAGGTGATTTATTTCAAAATACTTATGATTTATTTCACAAGTTATTCTCGAAAATGCGCACCTGTGATTTATTTCACAATGTACACCTAAGGTCGTGCATTTTGAAATATCGATATTAACTGGCCTACAAATACTTTTTGTGTCAAGATATAAAAATAAGCAGGTCTTTTTCGATTTACTGGACGTTTACTTATTACCACATCTGTGAACATTTCAAAATATAAAAGTACATTTAATTACATTGTCGACATGAATAATTGTTATTTTACTTCTTACTTACATTAAGCCGTCTGTTTTTGCCGGTCAAAACTATTGCCGGTCGAAACTATTGTTCCCTAAATGGCAGGGGAAGTAACTAGAATAATTTAATAGGACAATCGACAAAATTTTGTTCAGTAAAAATCTTATTTGCATAATTTGTAATTAGTGAAAGAGAATTTCTGATATGAGTGGGAGTGGATGTAAATTATGTTATGTTTCATTAATTGTATATGTCTCGTAGAAGGAATGTTTAGGGTCTGCAGACGATAATGTTTTAATCGCAGACGGCAATTTTAGTATCTGCCCACCGCAAATAAAACGTGTAGATGGTTTACCTAAGAAGAGGAAGAAGTTTGGGAAAAGCATCAGTTTCATAAATGGAACTAAATAAATACCAATGATTGTTTATATTGTTTATACAGGAATCGATGTTTTATTTTATGAAAATGTATATATAGATCTCTATATAATTTCAGGAAGCTTGACAGAATGACGATGTTACTGTTAGTTGGGTCACTGCTAGTGACGCTGTGTGCATCGGCATCCGTGCCTTCCAGTATGTATATTTTATGTGTTTCATTAATTGACTCATTGTATTGTTTTCATTTAATAAAATTACCCTTATATTTTTAAAAATCTTCAAATCTGTATATGCGAGTATTCAGCTTTTTCTTAGTAGCTGTGTCCATTTTAAATGTTTCAAAATGCTTAACTGTCATTTAGCAGACGACAATAGTCTGGTTAGACTGCACGCGCTTCCTGGATAATCTGTCTCTTACTGACGACCCAGTATTCCTGCAAGCGTTTCTTTACGTTTGATAATAATTTATCCCTTTGAAATAAACGGATATTCAACACAAAAAGAGATACAAATATAGTTTACTTACAGAAAATAAGATAAATACATTTCCTGTGGGGATCTTTTCGTTAATTTACAACAGTACTTTTCTGGAATTCTTCACAGACAAGACTTCGTGTCTATACTCGTATTTTCCGATAGTCTATGCTTTTCACAATGTCAGTCTCAATGAAAATTGTTTCTTGTAACAACAATTTTTGAATAAAGCAGTCCCTTTTCACAAGGCCGTTATTTCTTAAATTTCAGGCGAAATACTGATCGACGCAACCGTCACTTGTGGAACTACCAGAACCGTAGCAAAAGAAGGCACCTCTATCTTAATAGGCACCGGAAATTCCTCGTTCGCCGACTGTTCTTTCATTTTCACGGCTGACGGTGTACAAGGGTGTGCACCAACAGCCCTTTGTTACATGTTTGATATGTACGCCTTCTTTGCGAACCCTAAAGCTAGTCTATCAATTGAAAGTGGAACTGAAGTATTGGTTAGTTTCTTTTGTCCTTTTCTATTGCTGTTCTTTCAATGTAGCCGTTTATATTTTTTGTTTTGCACTTTTGACAACAGTTATAAAAAAAAAAACTTATTGTCATTATATTTATTCTCAACAGCTACTGTATGTTAATTCATCATGTTTGTGCGCCTGTCTGTTTTAATTTTATAACATTATTAAATTAAATTTAACCCATTGCAAGAAAAATAATCTTCACAAGAAATCCACTGACGAGATAAAATGCATTAACTGATTATATTGACCTCATGGCAATATACTAATAAATGTAATAAACTTTCATCTTATTTATATATTTTCTTTTACCTAATGTCAACAAGTCACTAGATACATATGTAGTTCCTCCCACAAGTTGCTACTTTCAGTAATTGTTATTCCCCAACCCCCTTCTTCCCTCATACATCAATTGATTTGATGACTGTGAAGGCATATTGTGTTTGTCTGTCTGTCTGTGCAAAAAGTTTAACCTTTTAATTGTAACATATTTCTTCTATAAGTAGTATAAACTTTCTGCTTTCACACGGCATAATGTCTGTCAGGGTAACTAAAACTGTTATTGTATTGGCATATTTTGAATTGCTAAGGTGTGGGGGGATAGGGGCATTGCGTTTTATAAACACATACTACATAATCTTACATTTATTTCACAGAAATATGATGATTCACTGAAAATACCACGTGGACCAGTATGCACAGAGCACCAGAAACTTACCGCCGTAATGACCGAGGAAGCCGGTTATGAATTTGACCCTCTTAAACCGGAAGAGGCCTATAGATTCAGACTGTCTGTTTACAACAGATGCGGCTCAAAAGGGCAGGTCAAAAATATAGAATTTGAGGAGGCTGTCAAAAAAGTTAGCGGTAAGGTCCATTTTTAGCTCGACTTTTCTATGAAAAGGGGAGCTATCCTACTCGCCCCGGCGTCGGCGTCGGCGTCGGCGTCGGCGTTGGCGTCACACCTTGGTTAAGTTTTTCGTACCACCCCACTTTATTTCAGAAGTATTACAAGTATGGCTTTGAAACTTACCATACTTGTTCACCATCATAACCTCCATCTACAGACAAGAGTACATAACTCTGTCAAGGTTTTTGACAGAATTATGGCCCTTTTTTGACTTAGAAAGTGTATTGAGCTTGGTTAAGTTTTTTGTACCACCTCACTTTATTTCAAAACCATTGGAGGTATTGCTTTGAAACTGACCATACTTGTTTACCATCACGACCTTCAACAACAGACAAGAGGACATAACTCTGTCAAGGTTTTTGACAGAATTATGCCCCTTTTTGACTTAGAAAATACATTGAATATGGGTAAAATCCACTTATTGCCTTAACCCTTTGAGATATTGCTTTGAAACTTTTAATGCTATTTCACATCATTACCCCCATCTGTACGCAAGAGAAGGTAACTCTGTCAAGGATTTGTTTTAAAAATTAAGGCCTTTTATCGACTTAGAATCTTGGTTAAGTTTTTTAGTACCAGTCCACTTTTTGACTGAACTGTTTGAGATATTAATTTGAAAGTTGGAATACTTGTTTACAATCATGATTCCCAAACATGTCCAGGAGAAGGTAATTCTGTCAAAGATTTTATTTGAATTATGGCCCTTAACTGTCAATGTTTTGTATTATAGGCAAGCACTAAAAAACTTAAAAAATCTAAAAAAATTCATTCCTATCCACTTGTTCACTTTACCATAAATTATGTCATAATAAAATAATTCTTCACTAAATATCTTAATGCTCATGGCCATTGTTCACTTTAAAAATACAGAGATTCTTGTATTGCCTTTTACTGCAAAAACTTTTTTTATTGGCAAGCAATAAAAAAGTCGAGCGCGCTGTCTTACGGACAGCTCTTGTTTATTTCCGGAAAATATTACATAAATAAACGTAATTAAAGAATTTTTTGCTGCGGTTATATGATAGGATTGGAGCACCACAATAAATACCGTATTCCGGTATATACCGGACAAGGCGCTTGAATGATAAAATTCTCAAATTTTGCATTTTCATGCAATGGAATGAACTTTTAAAGGTCTAATTCATCTCTTCACACCGATTAGTGTACGATAATAAAATGAAAAATGTAAAAACCGCCGAAAAAACACCATATTTGTCTATTTTGTGATCATGATTTCTGCAAGCGTCTAAAGGTTCTGCTCCAATCCTGTATCGAGTTAAATCCAATAGAAATATAGCAACTTACTTTTTTTGCAGGGTATCATCCGAAAGGAGAGAGAGAGGAACGTGAACATAACACATTTGTTACTGGAATCGTTCTCGGGTTCGGACTCGCCTGTATCTTCCTTGTAGTGCTGTTTGCTGGATACTGTTACACCAGGAACAGTCCCAACCGTCCACCCGGCAGAAGTGTTGGTATGCCTAAAGGTAAAGAAGATATTGCAATGACGAGTACTTCCGGTAAAATGTAAAATAAAAAAACGGACAGGTACGTAATTGCGTGTTTGATTACGCATGCGCCTGCCTACTAGATGCACCGGAAATGCTGATGGGAAGGAATTCTACGTATATACATGTTCAAATAGCTACTGACACTCAAAACGATGATTTTTTGAGGAATCTAAAAAATGATTATCAAATCGCATTAATGACTTTTATCAGTTTTTATTTCAATCTTGAAATTCAGTAAACATGCATTCTGGGTTGAAAATGGTTCTTATGACTTAATTTGAAATGGTTCTCTCAAAAATCATGAAAATGAGTTGGTATAAAGGTGGACGATAACTACAAAAAATAAGTCCAAAGAAATTTTGGTGTTTGGCGCTTCAATGTATTATAGGCTTTATATACATATACTGTTTTCGCAAACCTCGTTTTTAAAAAGGGAAGTTGACGTAAAGATCAGTAGTTCTACTCAGGTGCCCGCTCGTTGCCGGATAATAATGTGCACGAAGGGGCATCTGAGGTCTACCTTTTCCAATAAAAAGCTGACAAGTCGCCATATGACTTACACCTCCATGTGGGGCCTAAAAAAACGGGTTTTTTTCTTATATTTTAAACAATAACAAATTACGGGCTCTTGGTTCTTTATTTGCAAGAGTGCTATAAAAATGTCCATTTACCAAGAGGTTTTTTGAAAAAACAGGAACTTCAAAAAAAGAAAAGTATTTTAAAACATGTTATATTTATTAAACAATTAAATTTTAACACCACTTTGACTAAAATCAAGGACAGAGAAGAAGAAAGAACAAAATCCCGGAAATTTTAATTTGCTTTAACACGTTGCCATTTAAGGGACCGAATATTATCTTGGGAAATGTATGCTTATTGTCATTGTAGTTGGAGGGGTTCAAGGAAAAAATGATAAGCCAAAACCGCCCCATTTCAAGGGCCATAAAAGAAGTAGAAATGTGGTGTTGGATTAAAGCTCAACAAGGAGGGTTAAATGAACAAACTTTTTATTTTGCTTTTAATACAATCAAGAAAGTATGGTTAAAAAAAAGGCTGTTTATTTTTTGTCATTTTAATGTGGTTATAATAGAACATGCTCAATATTTATTTACTATTTTTGACAATAAGTATCATAAACATTTGCATTCAATGAATTCAGTAAATAAATTTATTATTAATTTATGCTCAATGTTTCATTAATGGTCCATTAAAGATATTTTTGTTATGCATTTATTATTTCTTTTTTCAATTTGGTAAAATTTAAGTTTTAAAATTTTGCCTTTTCCGAAGATTTCACTTTAAAAGGGACTAATGTCAAAGCTGTCGTCTGCTGGGGAAGTTCTGAAAAGGAATAAAACGTCTGTTAACTTTAAATGCGTTCACTAGAACTACTTTTTTTGCTTTTGGCTGTATGCACGTTTAGAAAGGAAGAGTGGAATATAGAATTTCATGGAAGCAATGCTACCTTTTAATAATCATCTGATAAGAAATTGATTTGAAAATAACGTCTGCAACTGTAGACGCGCGAGATATTACCTAATCTTATTTTTGCATGCTTAAATGCAGATAATTTGCGATCGTAGATGTTTTGGCACAGTTCATTTTGGCGCACGAATATCGATTTCAGATTATGTTCATGTATACGATATAGATCACACAATGGCGTAGGGATGGTAGTTATGTCAATTGGTGTTTGATTCAACAACCTCCTAAAAAGACTATTTTTGTCTTCTAAAAGCCGTTGACAATCCAATGGTGTTCATTAACCCAAACAAGAAAATGGAACCTTTTAAAAATAAATCCGGGCATACATTTACGCGGTCCCACTTTTTCCGTTGGCAAGACGGACAATCATTATCAATCGCGATCTACAGGCGTTTCTTATTTGCAGGACGTAGCATTAAATTTTTTAGACAGGGGCAGGGCAATTTTAAATTTTTTGCTAAAATTTTGTTTTTTCTTTTTTTTCCCTTTTTATTTTTTTTAATTTAAAGTTTTTTTCTATGGGGTTTTCTTTAAAACAGATTTCCCGACCCAAGGGGCAAACTTTCCCCATGTTAAATGGAAAAGCCAGTGGACCCAGAAAAAACCCCCAGGGAACAGGTGCTTTTTTAGTTTGGGTTTATTTAAGTTTTGGGCCCAAAACCCCGAACCCGACCAAAAAAGTTTTTTAATTTTTTTTTTTTCCAGCCCTTAAAAAATTTTTTTCATTATTTCATTTAATGAATATTTACGTCTTGTTTTTAAAGTGCAAGGCCTTTTCGTGTTTCCAAAATATGTTTACTTTCCAACTAATGCTTAAGAAATCTTTGCATTAAACAAGAACGCATGTACAATCTTAATTAGCTATCTATCATGTACTTGCTTACAAAATGCACAGTTACAATTTATTTCGCTCTTCAAAAAAGAAAATAGCAGAAACAATAAGTGGCTAACAATCTATTTATTATTATTTTAAGTTATAGTACATTATTTTCCCACTTTAATTATCTGTTATAAACTAATTGCAACCGGAAGTGCTTGCGCTGTCAATTCGTTGACTTCCGGTGAACGGATTGTGAAAACCGCAAAAGCAATGTATAAATAACATTCGTTCATTTTAGAGAATAAATATAAAGTTGTTGTCTTCCAACACATTTTAGAATGCATGCTGTCCGTTTATGTAATTTTATTTTTAATTTCATGCCCCAATTAAACTATTTTCATAAAATTAATATCAAAAAATTTAATTAAAATTTGGGAAACTTTTTTTTAAAAACCCAAATTTTTAATTTTATTTTCATTTTTTTTTCATCAATACACGTTTTTATAAAAAAATGTAAAACCTTTTTGAGTTCGGCTTCAAAATTTTATGATTTTCTTAAAAAAAACCCAACCCTACCAGTTTAATCTCCCCTTTATCATGGAACCTTTCCCCAAGGGGGGGTAAACACTGTGAGGAAATTTTTTAATTTTCCTAAGGGGGAAAATTTTTTTATAAATCGGGGAGGATTTATTTTTATTAAAAAATTTGGCAAAAAAATTTTAAATGCTTATTTTGGGTTTTTTTCGAACCCAAAAAAAAGAAAATAAAACTAGAAGCATATAAATCAAATTTACAAGAGAAAAACCCGAAACTAACAATTTTTCAGTTATATTGAACTCGCACGTGCTCCTGTCAAATTGATAGGTATATAAATAAGAAGTTTTAATGTAGTATTCCTTTATTTTGGCTCGAATATTCTCATTTTTCGTGATGTTTAAACAGCATTGTGTACTCAAATCTCGTGCAGATCCTTTTCCATTTGATTTCTATCTAAGAATTGTATGACTGTGCACGTATGAGCACGTGCAATTATTCTCCACCAGTTAAAATAAGCTAGAAAGTCGGTTTATAACCTGTACGGGATGATGTTTAATACAACTTGAACTAGTTAAAGAGCTTCACTGGATAAAAACCTTTACTAAAACGCTCATTTAAAATATTTTAAGTTAAGCATGGTTCATTTCTCTACATTATATTTATTTGCATTTTATCGATTTCTTTTTATTTTGTTTTTGTTAGTGCGTTAAACATAACGAGGTAAGAACTTACTTAAAGAGAATCAGCTAAAATAACCAGATTTACGCTAGTTTTCTTCTGCTGTAAACCAAGCTGTTTTTGTCGTGTTCCATGTTCTCTTCTGTTCTGTTCCAAAATTGAGTTTACTAATAAGGGTCACGAGTGGGTGACATGAGCAAAATTAATAAATGCACTGAATTTGTATGTTTAGTAGGTGATCCCATGCACGCGATGAATCGTCCTTGGGCGTCCCGTTTATACCCTTTAAAATCTTGTGTATTCTTGCACGGAAATGTTTTTCAAGATCTTGGAAATACTGCTTTTTAATTCTTTTACAGAATATATCAGAAGTCATAAAATTTGCTATATTGTCTGAGTTTTTTTATGTTATCCTTGCAATGCATTTTTTGAAGTGGCTCCCTTGTGATTTGACATAGATTTTAATAAAATGAATCTTTATTGCACGTGTTATCCCAACCAGCACACTCGTTTAAATATTTTTTTTTTGTTACACGGTTTGAACACATGGCTTGGTTTTCAGTTGTTATAATATAATTTGATATAATAATAGAAGAGAAATTGTATTTCAGAATTAGTGCTTTATTATATATATTAGCTTTTTAGTTGGAAAAATATATGAAATAATTTCCGTCATGCCCTGCAAATGTGATTCTTGTTACCTCCCTTGATATTCATTATAATGAAATGGAATAGATGGGATATATCTATTTTTAGACTGGTTATTTAACTTATTTATAATGTCAACGTCTGACTGTCCGCTTAACGTGAAATGAAGATTTTTCAGGCATTCGTGGCTTTTTCGTTAAAAGGGGTTCGTTTGTGAACCCAAAAAAGGGGAGAATTTTCCCATTTACAGCACTTTAACTTTTAAACCCTAAATTTACAGAAAATTTTAGTCAAATTTTGGGCCTGTAACAGTGACGCCCCTTATTTACTAAAAAAAAGTTTATCCCTGTGCAAATTTCGACCCAAATAAATTTATTTTTTTTGGGCATTTTTGTCACCCGTTTTCACAATTGTAGGGATGATTTTAGTTTTTAAATGATATTACACAATTTAAAAAAGGAAGTTTTTTATGCAAGAATTAAAATTTTTACAGATATTTTTTTATTTTTAATAATATCATAAATAAACGAAAACGTTTTTATACACTTGTTTTTTATTATACATGTTTTGGGTTTTCATATTTTATTTTAACTAACTGCTATTTAAAATTTGGTAACCAGATGCAACGGTGTATGTGGAAATATATACCTTTTATATGTTTTTTTTCTTTTATTTCTTAAATACGGTTCGAAGATTAGCAATAAATAAGTGCTTGCAATGACTTAAAACGCAATTCATTTTGACAATATAAGTTTTTTTTCAATCTTACATGCAATTTTGTCTCAAGTTAAGTCTGAAAAATGTACCTTCGTGCTCTGCGGTAAACGTTATAGTTTACATAAGCATTAGGTGATTGTCAAAACAGTACATAACTTACTTATAATTAACTCAAAACCTCTATATAAATGTATGTATAGCGTTTTTTTTCTTTACTTCTATACAGAAAGAACATTGATAATGAATAATGAATTTGAGTAAATATACAAGTTTGATTGCCTACTTAATACACTTCATAATATGAATGTTAAGTTAAAAAAGGGAAACAATATAATTATATTGAATATAAAAGTGTATTATTATATGTACTTCCGCATTGATGATGATATATGTTTTCCTCATTTCCAAGTACAATGTATTTTCAAAGTACCATCATCCTTTAAACCTTTTTATACTTAACTTATCTTAGTTTTACTTTCTTAACAAGAATAGTTCCAACAAAAGCTTCTTTTATTGTCTTAAAAAATAAACCTATTGGAACCGGAATTGATAAGCCTTTGTTGTCAGTATAGAGCCCGCCCAGTCTGAACACATGTGCAAGTCTAGTATGGCACTTTACTGTTGGTAGCTCAAATTTTCGTATTTGAATCCCTTTAAATTTTGAATGGACTGTTCCAAATTCATTACTGGGCAAATCCATTACGTAGATACGGCAGGTTAAAGGTTAAACCATAAACCTCAGTTGTCATAACTATTCTAACTGTTTCTGTAACTATTTTCAGACAATGATGATGACGAGAGACAAATTTCTAACCATGAACCTGAAAAAAAGGAAAGAACTCGGAAACAGATAAACCAACCGTTACAGAAATCACAGAAAAATAATACTACTAATACAGGGGGGAATAATTCTGGAAAAACTGACACTAATACTGGAGGAGATAATACCGGAAGTGGGGATACAAATACTGGGGGAGGTACTACCGGAAGTAGCGACTCACATACAGGAGGTGGCTATTCCGGTGGTGGGGATATATTGGGGGGTGGCTATTCCGGTGGTGGGGATATTGGGGGCGGTTATTCCGGAGGTGGGGACTCTGGAGGAAGCAGTGGAGGTGGGGGAGGCGGCGGTGGGTGTGGATACGATGGTGGTGACGATTAAAGTTTTTTTAAGAATTATCTCCCTTGACTTAGAAATAAAATATTGTTAATTTTATATTAAACCTGGTTTTATCAGTTATTATGTGTATATAAATAAGACACAAAACATTGTAAAAAAGTTGTTTAATTTCTTATATTGTGTAACATTGAAAATGAAAATTTATGGTTCTAAAATGGTACTTAAATGCATTTTTTCTTGTAAAGGAAAACTTTTTAATTCAACTTCATGGTAGTATTTGCAGGTTATTTTTGTTTTGTCAATTCATTTAATGTGTGTGGTTTTTCTTACATTTACATAATATGTTTGTCGGTACATAGTCACAGACCTATATGATTTCCACTAAAATATACGTTGAAACAGCGTTATAAGTAGAGGAGTTTTATATTTTTAGTAATTTTTTACTGACGGAATCTCAAAAACATCCATTTTTTAAAAATTTTTACAACTCAAAATTTTAAAAAACTTTATTCAAGCATTTTTGGCTGAGAAAAAGAAACTTAAGAGATATTTTCCCATTTATGTTTCATTTTTTTGAATTTTTATCCGTGTATTAAATACATTACTATGCATTATTATTTTAATGCCATAAATTTTGTAAGTATTCATTATATGCTTCATACATGTACATTGTGAAATATATATATAGATATACATGTATATATATAGGTGGCAGTCGAGAAAGATAATAATTTCCTTCTTTGCAACAATGTTGCGTTCATATATATTGCACAACAAAATTCGTAATAAAATATTTTATAAATACATATTTTAGCTACTTTTTTGATAAAATCTTTAACCGCACAAGCGTATGAAAGCTTCCTGTGTGAAATCACTCTCCGCCCATTGATGCGAATATGTGCATTAGTACATTTTAACTCCTTTTTGAAGAGCTTATAAAAAGACGCGCGAATATGCGCATTGTTACATTTAACTCCATCTTGAAGAGCTTTTAAATATACGCGCGAAAATTCACTTGCAGATAGGCGAATGTGTTTTTTTTTAGAAAGAGCAACATCACGTGCTTTCAAAATAGAATGTATAGGGTTATCTATCAATATGTGTTTATTTCATTCGTACAAAACTGATACCTGGCATAAAGAGCGTGCGTAAATTTTCTAATTTTGTCTCTGGAATGAATCCCTAGAAGTTAAAAAAGGATGTTGGCTTATTAAGAATGAATCTTGGTTAGTGTTTTTCTCGTCCAGTGCGGCAGCTTTTTAGTTTTATTTAGTGTTCCAATTTTAGAAGTTTTTAGATGTGTATATATATACATGTAGATGGATTGGTAACCAATAATGATACATGACTTTTGTTTTGCTTAATCAGCACCTTTTCCCAAAAGAATTGTGCTTTTGTGTGTACTGAAGAACTCTAGTGTTCTGATGAAATAGTTGTTTGTGTGATACTAATTAAAAAAGCTGTTAAAATGTGTATAAAAAATCGCATTTTCTTTCATAAGAATTATTATGCCCCCATTTCGAAGAAAAGGGGGTATATTGCTTTGCACTTGTTGGTCCGTCGGTCCGTAGACCAAATGGTTTCCGAGTGATAACTAAAGAACCCTTAGGCCTAGGAACTTCAAACTTGGTATGGTGATTGGTCATGACCAGTAGATGAATCCTATTGATTTTGGGGTCAAGGGGTCAAAGGTCAAGGTCACATTGACCTTGAAAGCAAAAACGGTTTCCGATCAATAACTAAAGAACCTTAAGGCCTAGGAACTTCAAACTTGGTATGGTGATTGGTCATGACCAGTAAATGACCCCTATTGATTTTGGGGTCAAGGGGTCAAAGGTCAAGGTCACATTGACCTTGAAAGCAAAAACGGTTTCCGATCAATAACTAAAGAACCTTAAGGCCTAGGAACTTCAAACTTGGTATGGTGATTGGTCATGATCAGTAGATGACCCCTATTGATTTTGGGGTCAAGGGGTCAAAGGTCAAGGTCACATTGACCTTGAAAGCAAAAACGGTTTCCGATCAATAACTAAAGAACCTGAAGGCCTAGGAACTTCAAACTTGGTATGGTGATTGGTCATGATCAGTAGATGACCCCTATTGATTTTGGGGTCAAGGGGTCAAAGGTCAAGGTCACATTGACCTTGTAGGTAAAAACGGTTTCCGATCAATAACTAAAGAACCTTAAGGCCTAGGAACTTCAAACTTGGTATGGTGATTGGTCATGATCAGTAGATGACCCCTATTGATTTTGGGGTCAAGGGGTCAATGGTCAAGGTCACATTGACCTTGTAAGTAAAAACGGTTTCTGATCAATAACAAAAGAACCCTTAGGCCTAGGAACTTCAAACTTGGTATGATGATTGGTTATGACCAATCAGATGACCCCTATTGATTTTGGCGTTAAGGGGTCAAAGGTCAAGGTCAAATTGACCTTGTAGGTAAAAACGGTTTCCGATCAATAATGAAAGAACCCTTAGGCCTAGGGACTTCAAACTTGAGATGATGATTGGTCATGATCAGTAGATGACCCCGATTGATTTTGGGATGAAGGGGTCAAAGGTCAAGGTCACATTGACCTCTTAGGTAAAAACGGTTTCCGATCAATAACTTAAGAACCCTTAGGCCTAGGAACTTCAAACTTGGTATGGTGATTGGTCATGACCAGCAGATGACCCCTATTGATTTTGGGGTTAAGGGGTTAAAGGGCAAGGTCACATTGACCTTGTAGGTAAAAATGCTTTCCGATCAATAACTTAAGAACCCTTATGCCTAGGAACTTCAAACTTGGTATGGTGATTGGTCATGACCAGCAGATGACCCCTATTGAGTTTAAGGTGAAAGGGTCAAAGGTCAAGGTCACATTGACCTTGTAAGTAAAAACGGTTTCTGATCAATAACTAAAGAAGCTTAGGCCTAGGAACTTCAAACTTGGTATGGTGATTTGTCATGACCAGCAGATTACTCCTATTGATTTTGGGATCAAGGGGTCAAAGGTCAAGGTCACAATGACCTTGTAAGTAAAAACGGTTTCTGATCAAAAACTAAAGAACGCTTCGGCCTAGGAACTTCAAACTTGGCATGGTGATTGGTCATGACCAGCAGATGACCCCTATTGATTTTAGGGTCAAAGGTCAAGGTCACATTGACCCTGTGTGTTAAAACGGTTTCCGATCAATAATAAAGAATCCTTAGGCCTAGGAACTTCAAACTTGGTATGGTGATTTGTCATGACCAGCAGATGACCCCTATTGATTTTGGGGTCAAGGGGTCAAAGGTCAAGGTCACATTGACCTTGTAGGTAAAAACGGTTTCTGATCAATTTACTAAAAACGCCTATGCCTAGGAACTTCAAACTTTGTATGATGATTGGTCGTGACCAGCAGATGACCCCTATTGAGTTTTGGGTCAAGGGGTCAAAGGTCAAGGTCATGACCAGTAGATACTTTATAACCCTTATTAATTGTTTGATCACTGGGTCAGAAGTCATGCATAATAACCTTATCACATGACTAATTGGCTGCTGATAGGGGGCATACATGTTTTACAAACATATCTTGTTTTAATGTCTAGTGATGGAAGTTTGGTGGAATTGTTGCGTTAGTTATACTATAGATATTACCAATACCTCGAAAACTTTGTACACATTTTTATACATTCCTTGTACTTATTGATATTTTTTAAATATTGCCTAAATGTATTGTCAAGAAATGTTTCTAAGTTTTGTTCATTCTTAATTTGTACACGCGGTATTAAACATTGTCGCAAGACTGCCTATATAAGTTTTTGACCTGGCGGTAAATTGCAACATGTGTAATATTAGTAAGAAAAGATACTATTGAGCATGCGCAGTCAATACAACATAATATGATATATTCACTGAGATATCATAAAATGTGTTTATTGTTTTGATTTCGGATGGCTTCATGTTCACAGACAAATTGGGTGCGATACTTTACCAGTTGAAAAAAAAATGTATTTTTCAACTAGATCAAATTTGATTTTTAACGGATTGCATTACGGAAATAAAATTCTTTTTTGTGTAAAGGTAAAAATTCAGGATGGGGTTAAAAGTTCGATCCTCGACCCCAAGTGTCTGTGTACCCCCAAGTGTCTGTGTGCGAGCGTGTTTATCCATCTTTACCATCTTTGCTTGGCCTAGTCATCAATTGTAAATGTTGTTGCAACAACTAGGAGCCTTGTTTGATTGCTTTTATGAAAGAAACACTTAGGTACAATTACACATTGACACGTCGCGGGTACTTCAACCAACCAACACATTACATGGATTAGATTTTCAACTTTAGATCGGCTTAATATTTTTTATCATTTTTATTTTTTTATACTATACCTTCGGACAAAATTTTTGTAATACATTGAATTTCATTTGGATTGTTTTGTCAAAGAAAATGTAAACCCCTGATACACTTATGTAGTGTTGATGAATGTAAAGTTGTTTAATGAATGTGTTGCTATAGTGTGTTCGAGACGAAACAGATTCGCTATATAATGTCTGCTGAAACATTTGCTTCTAATGTGAAACAGTGATTTTTTTAGAAATAAATACTAAAATGAAAATTTCAGTGTTGGATCATTTCTTTTTTCCAAAACGAATTAGAAAATTGAAAAAAAGATTATATGCTATGTTCCGGTTTTATAATCCTTTCCCAGCTAAAACTGCTATAATATTTATGATTATAGTACATTTTCCTACCAAACATTTATTAAAAAAACAGTACTTAAATATAACAGGTGCATATTTTCCCGCGTGATATATATGAAATATAAAAATAGAAAAATGGTTTCCAGACAATTTCTAGAGTTAGGAATGAGATATTGTGATTAAACCTGGTGTATAGCAAACTAATATGAAAACCCCGTTTGGTATTGCATTTGGACCTCCTTTGGTCAAGGTCACCGTTACTAAAAATAGAAAAATGGTTTCCGAACAATAACTTAATTTATGAATGAGATATTGTAATCAAACTTTGTGTGTAGCAAGCTTATATGAAGACTCCGGTTGCATTGCAATTGGACCCCCTGTGGTCA